TTTTTAAACCTTTGTAACCAGAAGCTGCTCTTCATATTAGTGACAAACAATAGCAGTAACAGCTTCTTGTCAAAATGCTTAAAAATAAATTACAAAAATTAATTTGATAAAATAAAAATTAAAACATAGTTGTATCTGCAACAGTATTTGATAATGTTTTGAACTTTTAAAATATGGCATGGTAGAACCAGAGGCTGCGCTTCATATTAGTGACAAACTTTGGCCATTTTTTTAAGGGTTACCTTCATTTTTGCTTCTACTTWTAATTTAAAATTGATTTCTATTCTYGGCAGTTTTCTAAGGTTCTTCTAGGTATTAAAAAAAGTTGTTAAACATCTGAGTGGCGCACTACTGCTACTAGTGGTGAGAAAGWGTATTGCACCTTATTCAAAATCAATGCAGTCCCACGGCCCTCTGCGGCCCAAAGTTAAAAACTGTTGTTCTTTTGAGGCCCTCAAGGTGGCGCTCGCAGCCCATAGGTTAAGAATCTCTGGCTTATGTCACTGTTGAAACTGATCGCCCTAAAAGGTGTTTTACTCTTTATTATCAACCTTTTTCAAAAGAGCAGTTTGAGGTTTACTCATTAAATTGTATGCACATAGATGACTGTAATATGTGACCCCGCAGGCCTTCGAGGAGCTCCAGGATACTCACTGGAGCAGGCTCATCATCTCCCCATTGAAATGGATCCTCTCATAGGTCAGCACACAAGCATCTGAACAAACAATCAAACTAGTATCTGTAAAACTGGACGAGTTCAAATCTTTCTTTACCAGTTCCGCCATAAAATCATGTCACATTACAGCAAACAACAAAGTCATTGGTCACCTTTATTAATGCTGATTAATAACATTGTTTGTGCACTTCCATTCCCAGTCTTTTAATTCCTTATTTTTGCATGTTCAGCGAATAACTCAGGAGTGAACAAGCGTCAGATAACTGACCTGGTGGACCAGAGCATCCAGATCAACACACACTGTTTTGTTGTCACTGCTGACAACCGCTACATCCTGGTCTGCGGCTTCTGGGACAAGAGCTTCAGAGTGTACTCCACTGAGACCGGTTGGTCCTGTTTTAGAAGTTTTGTGCACTATRAACCGTAGAAATCTGTGCTCTGAAAGTGTGGCTGTTTCACTTTATTAAAATGAAATTGGAAAACTCTTTATCATCTTTCAGAGGTAAAAAGGTGACAGTAACTGGACGCTCTCCGACTAAAACTTCCCTCCTCTTCGTCTCCATAGGAAAGCTGACCCAGATCGTGTTTGGCCACTGGGACGTGGTGACGTGTTTGGCTCGCTCCGAGTCCTACATCGGAGGCGACTGCTACATCGTGTCAGGCTCCAGAGACGCCACCCTTCTTCTGTGGTACTGGAGCGGACGACACCACATTATCGGGGACAACCCTAACAACAGTGAGTGAATAAAAAGCCTGCATTGTTTTCAGGAGTCGGTTTGTCGGTTCAGTCTACATGATGGTGTGTTTTCCTCCAGGCGACTACCCTGCTCCCCGGGCGGTGCTGACGGGACACGACCACGAGGTGGTGTGTGTGTCTGTCTGCGCAGAGCTGGGATTGGTGATCAGCGGCGCCAAAGGTTCGCAGTTGCTTGTGACGGCCGTCGGGGAAATGATTTTTTTTGTGTGTGGGTTGGGATGAGAAATGAATCTGCGTTGGTCTTCCTCCTCAGAGGGCCCGTGCTTGGTTCACACCATCACAGGAGACTTGCTGAGGGCCCTGGAAGGCCCGGAGCTGTGCCAGCGGCCTCGTCTCATCTCCGTGTCCAGCGAGGGACACTGCATCATCTATTATGAGAGAGGTCGCTTCTGTAACTTCAGCATAAACGGAAAACTGCTGGCACAAATGGAGGTCAACGACTCCACGCGGGTAAATCTGCCAGAGTTAATTCTGTTGATGTGAACACGCCATCATAAAATCCCCTTTGACCTCTGTTGCGTGTCTTTTCCTTCACAGGCTATTTTGTTGAGCAGCGATGGGCAGAACTTGGTGACGGGAGGTGATAATGGAGTTGTGGAGGTCTGGCAGGCATGTGACTTCAAACAGCTTTACATCTACCCAGGCTGCGACGCCGGCATCCGCGCCATGGATCTCTCCCATGACCAGAGGTACAGTAAAACAGGACACTTATGGACAGAGACTCAAACCCCTTCAAGAGAGGAAAGCATACTGAAATTACAATACTTTCAATGGTGTTAGCTTGCAACCGGTGCAACAGAACAAAACATGTCTCCACTCAAGGCAGAGCTAAAGATGAATGTCATTTTTAAAGGGATAGTTCAGGTCTTTTTAAGGGAGATTTTAAAATAAGGATTTTGAGAAATAACATCCATACCATACCAGGCAGAAATAGGATGATATTCCTACTGGACATGTTTCGGGCCACATCACAAGTGCTACAGTAAAAATTTGACAAAGCACTTCTAACAGTTTTGTAATGATTTTGCATGAACCAGTATAAAATTGTGGAACCTGGCAATGTTTTTTTGACAGCAGCAGTCCACTTTGTATTTGGGATGACTATCTTTTAGCTCAGTAGTCAGAAATGAACTCAAGTTATATATATATATATATATA